AAACAGTCCAGGGAAAAAATGAGAGGCTGAGGGCTGAGCTGAGGGGTCAGAGGGTCATCATATGCAGAATGTATGCTAGGCCCACCCTCTTTATCTATATCTGTTCTGTTTCCAATAGATTTTTGACTGATCTTCCTGCTTTGGTTTACGGCCACCCTAAATACCCATCTAGCCAAATTGGTTTTTCTGGAATACAGATCAGACCATGTCATTCTCCTGTTCAAAATCCTATCATTGGCTTTTCACTGCCGTTAGGATAAAATCCCATCTTCTCAGCCTGGCATATGAGACTTGCCATGAATTGGGTCCTCCCTCCGTGTCCAGCCTCATCTTCTGTCCCTCCTGCCTCACACTGATTTGCCTGTAATCCTATGTACACAGAGGGCTTTCCTGCCCCACGTCTTTGCTTGGGCTGTTCTCTTTGACTCAGATGCCCTTCCCATTTTCTTTTTTTCTCTTTCTTTCTTCTTCTTTTTTTAACTAAATTGCACTCATGCTTGAAGCCTCATTTCAGGGATCACCTCCTTCAGAACGCCTCCCTGAATCCCCAAGTTGGCTCAGTGCCCTGCTTGTGTTCGGCAGCATTTGGCCCACACCTTCACTGATGATAGTAGAAATGCCTATGTGTGCAGCTCTCCACCCCTGCTTAGTGGTGCCTTGGAGGGAAAACCCCGTATCATATTTTATTTTGTCCAGTGGCCTCTAGGACAGGCCTGGCAAATCACAGGCACTTGTTAATGTTTGTAAAACTGAACTGATAGGAAGGAGAATATTTGGGTGGGAGACAGCCTTGGGCAATCAGGACGCCTTCAGGAAACCTGGGGAGCAGTCAACTCAACCAAATGGTTGGTTCTCCTGTGAGAGTACGTAGGACAGCAAGATTGCTTCTAAGACGACAGAAGACTGGAAGCTGACTGGGGCTCATGGATTTTCTGCAACAGATTGGGACATCCTAGTAAGGTGGAGTGGTTAGGACCATCAACTTTATGTCATCTCTATGTGAGCTCTGGTTCTGCTACTTCTTTGCTTTATACTTTGAGTAAATGACTCAAATGACTTAACTAAGACTCAGTTTCCCAAAATGTAACATAGGGATTAAAATAGTACTGATCTCTCACAACAACTAACAGGATTGTTTGAAGATGAAATACTAGGTTTGAACTTTATGCACACAATAACTTCTTTTAAGCGTTAGTTACCTTAAGTCATTAATACCTTCCTTGTTTTGGGCAGTTCTGGGGATCTCAAGCTGGGTCACCTCCATGAGTATGACTTAGGACTGATTAAGAGCTTTCTGGAAACACCAAAGATCAGTTGGGTCTCTAAGGGAGTGCAGTGAACCACCCAGGAGGTGGGGATCTGTGTCAATCAGTGTCTGGGGCTGGAGTTATGGCACAAAAAATGACCATTGGCTTGTTCATCAGAGACATCCCCTCTCCCTCTAACTTATCAGGCAGAAACCATCTCCTGGCAGAGCTGGAAAGAGCAACTAGGCATCCAGCGGTCATTTTTCACCTTCAGTTCTAACCACTTGGTCCTGGCAATCCCTGACCACTTTCTGGCCTTGTTTTCTTTTATTTGTTCCTTCAGTTCATCTGTTGTCTCAGGGAACAGTCTTTCTAAACTGACCTCTGATTATGACCACGTGATAGCACAGTCCCCATAAAAACCTGTTGCTATAGGTGTCTTTGGGACTGAGGAGAATAAAGACCACGATCCTCCTTAATTGTCCCAGTGAGTAAGAGCAGTCGGAGTCCTCGTCCCCCGTCGATCTGACTGTCCCATCCCCTGACTGCAGCAGGCCAGCCTCTTCCCTAATCTGTGGCTAGCCCACCCCTCTGGGCTTAGCCAGTTGTGCAGCTGCCGCTGCCTCTCACCGTGTTGGCTCTTGATTAAAGAGCTGCTCCAGCTGGGCCCACCTGCTGTCCCCTCCTGTGTGGGGCTCATCAGAATTCACAAAGTGTTGGGTTTTCAGAGGTCAAGGCAAGGAGCCAAGATCCATGTCTGTCCGCAGTTCTCCAGGTAGGTGAGTGCTAAACCTATGAATAGGGTCTCTGTGCGCATCATATGTTATGGGGGCATTTTCAGGCTTTGAATATGGGTACCGATCACCTCCAGCCTGTCTTCTCCTGTACAGTCGTTGTCATAGCCTCAGTGAGGTCAAAGCCCCAGGCACCTGCTGGGCTGACCCCTGCTACCTGGACTAGTGGGGATTATGGGCCTCAGCAGTTGGCTCCCGTTCTGAGGAATACGAAACCAAGTTAATCCACAGAGCCCTTGGGAGGAGAGCCTCCAGGATTACCATACGCACCAGGGTGTGTCCCAGGGGGAACTTCTCTTTGAGTACAAGCCTTGGCAGTTGAAAGAGGTCCTATGTAGCCTCTCAAATGTAGTGAGGATTTGTCTACGAGATCTATTTTTTTCTAAATGGCTACGATTCAGACTGTAAAATGACTTTTAAGAAGGCTGATTTCTGAGTGTGTTAGTCTGCTCAGGCTGCCATAACAAAATGCCATAGACTAAGTGGCTTAAACAATGAAAATTTGTCAGGAGGCTGGGATTCCAAAATCAAGATACTGACAATTTGATTTCTGGAAAGAGGTCTCTTCCAGGCTTGCAGATGACTGCTTTCTCCCTATGTCCTCCCAAAATGGAGCACTCTCTTTCTTTTTCTGTCTCTTGTCTTCTTAAATGCCACCAAACCTATTGGATTAGAACCCCACTCTTATGACTTCATTTAGCCTTAATTACCTCCTAAAAGTCCTATCTTCAAATAGAGTCACATTGTGGATTAGGTCTTCAACATAGGAATTGGTGGGGGGATTGTACAATTCCATCCATAGCAGTGAGGAAGCTTCCCTAGGGCCACATTTATTTATTCCAAAACATAACATTTACGGAGCACCTACTAACTACCTACTAAGGATACCATGATAAACAGAATAGACATAGTCTTTGCCTTTTTGTCATAGTTTAATGGATGAGTTAGTCATCAATCGTATAATCCCACAAATACATATGTAATTTCAAAATTTTGTAAGTGCCATGAAGAAATTAAAGGAAAGGAGTTGACCATTTTAGGGTGAAGGAAGGTTTTGTGAGAAAGTGACTTTCAAGCTGAGAGCTAAAGCATTGTTATGAGTAGGGGTGCAAGGAAGAAGTGATATTTTTGGTCATGGGTCATGTTATGGGCAAAGGTCCTGAGGTGGAAAATAAGATGGTGTATGCCAGGACCTGATGTAAAGGCAATTACTGCAGAAATGCAGTGAGAGGGACAGTGGCAAGAGATGAGGGGAATGAGGAAGAAGGTAGCTTTCACGAGGCTCAGCAGGTCATGGTGAGGATGCAGGTCTTTATATTAAAAGTGAGGGGGAAATGCCGAAAGGCTTCAAATATAGGAGTAAGAGCATAGGATTAGGTTTTTTTTTTTTTTTTTTTTAAAGATGACTGTGGCTATACGAGAAGATGGAATAGAGAAAGGTCAGAGTTGGGAGTGAGTTCAATGAGGAGGTGACTGAGTAGATTCATCAGGTGAAAAGTAATGGGCTGTGATGGTGGTGAGAGAGATGGGGAGGAAAGTTGATGGGACTCTGTGTTGGACTGGAGAGAGAAAGGCTTTGCAAACAGGCAGCGGTTTCCAGGCTGAGAAACCAGGTGGATGGAAGTGCTATTTTCTGAGATGGGAAACAGCAGACAAGGAGGAGGAGCATGTAGAGAATAACAGCATTCTTCCATTACTAACAGTACTCCTACATGCTTGTTACAGAGGTGGAAACATGGGCAAGTTGTTTTTTTTTTAAGGTATTGAATAGTTATTTGCAGTCTCCTTCCATCTGAATGAGGCAATGAGTAGCAAGATAACTGTAGTTTCAGCTGAATTTCTTCCATTCTTGTGAACTCATGTTCACCTTTTGGTGTCTTGAGGTCAGCAGAGGAAGCTGAATTTCACCCCGAAATCTTGCCTACAGATTAAAAAAACTTATTTAGAGTCACTTGCTTGTTGTTTATAGTGCTTCCTACCACTTGGCCCTTGCAGTGTTTGGGTTTCAAGTTAGAGTGGCTGACTGATCTTCATCTTCTCGTAACTAGATGCCTAAACTCTTTCATAAGGCTGTCTTGCTGGGGGGCTAAGGACTGCTATGGACTGGGCCTTGGGCACCACTTACAGGGCTTCGGTTGAGCTACATGACAGGTAGTATTCACTGCAGAATCAATTCTCTTGATTTCTCAAGCAATCTCAGAATTAGGACTTGCCTCCCTAAATTTTCATCTGGGGAAGGAGTTTTTCCCAACTGGGCTCAACTGCACACAAAGCAGGTGTTCCATTTGCAGGGGACTAGTCCAGGATAACAGTTCAGTTCAGCGTGTACTCCTGTAAACTTATGTTTTGCAAGATTCTTGAGTATGATGACAGTGTGGTAAGGAAGGCTGAAAACCCTAGAAACAGTAGAAGTGGAGATGAAGATTCCTGTTATACTTGGCCAATTTTAAGTTAATTCTTGAGGATTCTCACAGATAACAAAAGGGTTGGGAGGCAGGACTAAAGGGGTATCAGTTAAGTTTCCATTACCAATATTCCCAGCTATTTTAAGCCATTTTTCTACTGACTCTACCAGATGGTCCTGAGGACAGAGCAGCTATTTGAGCCTCACAGTGACATCTATTTTTCCAAGTGAGAGACTGCCCCATATGTTAGTACAATATGTCACTCAAGATGAAGCATCAGTTTGTATTGGTGGGAACCTGCCATTTGTTGTCCTCCTTTTTTTTTTAAAAAAAAAAAGCTTTTTATTTTTTATTGGGGGTATAGCTGATTAATAATGTGATAGTTTCGGGTGAACAGCAAAGGGACTCAGCCATACATATACAGGTATCCATTCTCCCCCAAACTGTTCTCCTTTTCTTCATGCCTTTTTCTGCCTCTCTGATCTCTTCTAGGTCTCTGGCCTGTCAGGAGGACCATTGGTGCTGCAGTGGAAGCCGGCGGCTAAGTCTTGTGTATGGCGTGGTTAAGGTTGCGGCCTCTCACCTCTGCCTTCCTCCATTTTGGGCTGATTACCTTTGTGCTCTTCCTGAATGGTCTTCGGGCAGAGGCTGGCGGCTCAGGGGATGTGCCCAGTACGGGGCAGAACAATGAGTCCTGTACAGGGTCATCGGACTGCAAGGAGGGTGTCATCCTGCCAATCTGGTACCCAGAGAACCCTTCCCTTGGAGACAAGATTGCCAGGGTCATTGTCTATTTTGTGGCCCTGATATACATGTTCCTCGGGGTGTCCATCATTGCTGATCGCTTCATGGCATCTATTGAAGTCATCACTTCTCAAGAGAGAGAGGTGACTATCAAAAAGCCCAATGGAGAGACCAGCACAACCACCATTAGGGTCTGGAATGAAACTGTCTCCAACCTGACCCTTATGGCCCTGGGTTCCTCTGCTCCTGAGATCCTCCTGTCTTTAATTGAGGTGTGTGGTCATGGGTTCATTGCTGGTGATCTGGGACCTTCTACCATTGTCGGCAGCGCAGCCTTCAATATGTTCATTATCATTGGTATCTGTGTCTATGTGATCCCCGATGGAGAGACTCGCAAGATCAAGCACCTACGAGTCTTCTTTGTCACTGCTGCTTGGAGCATCTTTGCCTACATCTGGCTCTATATGATCCTGGCTGTCTTCTCTCCTGGGGTGGTCCAGGTTTGGGAAGGCCTCCTCACTCTCTTCTTCTTTCCAGTGTGTGTCCTTCTGGCCTGGGTGGCAGATAAGCGACTGCTCTTCTACAAATACATGCACAAGAAGTACCGCACAGATAAACACAGAGGAATCATCATAGAGACCGAGGGTGACCACCCCAAGGGCATTGAGATGGATGGGAAAATGATGAATTCCCACTTCCTTGACGGGCACCTGGTGCCCCTGGAAGGGAAGGAAGTGGATGAGTCCCGCAGGGAGATGATACGGATTCTCAAGGATCTGAAGCAAAAACACCCAGAGAAGGACTTAGATCAGCTGGTTGAGATGGCCAACTACTATGCTCTCTCCCATCAGCAGAAGAGCCGCGCCTTCTACCGGATCCAAGCCACCCGAATGATGACTGGCGCGGGCAATATCCTGAAGAAGCATGCAGCAGAACAAGCCAAAAAGACCTCCAGCATGAGCGAGGTGCATGCTGATGAGCCGGAGGACTTTGTCTCCAAGGTCTTCTTTGACCCGTGCTCTTACCAGTGCCTGGAGAACTGTGGGGCTGTGCTCCTGACAGTGGTGAGGAAAGGCGGGGACACGTCCAAGACCCTGTATGTGGACTATAAAACAGAGGATGGTTCTGCCAACGCGGGGGCTGACTATGAGTTCACAGAGGGCACGGTGGTTCTAAAGCCAGGAGAGACCCAGAAGGACTTCTCTGTGGGCATCATCGATGATGACATTTTTGAGGAGGATGAACACTTCTTTGTGAGGCTGAGCAACGTTCGCATGGAGGAGGAGCAGCCCGAGGAGGGGATGTCTCCCAGAGTACTCAATAGTCTGCCCTTGCCTCGGGCTGTTCTGGTATCCCCTTGTGTGGCCACAGTGACCATCTTGGATGATGACCACGCGGGCATCTTCACTTTTGAATGTGACACTATTCATGTCAGTGAAAGCATTGGTGTCATGGAGGTCAAGGTTCTGCGGACATCAGGTGCCCGGGGCACAGTCATCGTCCCCTTTAGGACAGTAGAAGGGACCGCCAAGGGTGGTGGTGAGGATTTTGAAGACATATATGGGGAGTTGGAGTTCAAGAATGATGAAACCGTGTAAGTAACCCTTCCATAGTCCATCTGCCTCCATCCCTGTCGCCCCCTTCTCTCTTGCCCCGTGCTTTAAAGCTTTTCCGGGTACTTGTGTTAATGTCAAACTTTGGTTCCATCTCAGGTACGCCAGATCAGCAGACACTGCTGCCAGGCTCTGCTTCCAAAATCTCCTTTCAGTTTTCTCACTTTAAATTGTTTTCGGGCAAGGAATGCTATGGCAGGATCTAAGCACACAGGATCTAAGAACATTTTGTCCTCTGAAACTCAAAATGATAGCTGGTGGGGGTGTGGGATGATGGAAGTTCTGCTGTCAGATTTGGGGAGATTCTTGTGATGAAACACGATCTAGGAGACTGCTTGGGTCTCTCCCTCCTCTTCTCAGGCCAAGGGCTTACATGAGCTTTGAAGGCAGTCCTTTCCATTCTGAATCAGTGATAGTCCAAGCTGGACATCCTCAAGAACGTGAGTGGCATTGGCTTATGTTTTTCCAGTACCATATTGCAGTTGTATTGTATAAGCAGATTTCAGGCACCTCTCCTTCAATTTGGAAATTGCAAAATTGATTGAAACTTGGCAGTCTCTTTAAGCATCAATAGGCTTATTTTATGGTGTGAGGCTTGCCCAGTCTAGGTGAAATGAATCAATATGGCTTGAGTCCTGGAGGTATATTGGAGAAACAGAGCTCCCAGGGCAGCAGCCACCAGTTTTTAGTCACAGGTCTAAGCTCCAGAATCTGGCTAAGCAGTGGAGGAGAAGCCTCTTAGGAATTGTGGGGAAAAATACATCTTCTGTGTGGTCATCTCTTTTCACAGTCCAGAGTTCTCCTAAAACACTTCTCAGGTCACTGGCCCATTTAGTCTTTTAGACACTGTGGGTCTTACATTTCTATTGCCTCTGTCACTCTGAGGCCTCTCTGCATTGAAACATCTTGTACTGGGTGTTCTGTCCTGTTCTCGGATGGATATCTCTAAAAAATAAAGCCGACTGACTCTGCCCAGCAGACCAGACTTTCCAGGGTTGCCAAGAAGGAAGGGGATGAGAAAGGGGAACCTTGTCTCAGAATTGCTGCTCACGTCCACCAGCAATAAGCAGTAGCAGAGGAAGATAGGAGGAACCAAAGGGACACATATAGGAAGTGGGAGGTGTCAAACTGCTCCAAGAACCTGCTAAAACACTTTCAATAGGAAATGAAAGCTCTCATCTGTAAAGTGGGAATAGCAATAATTTCCTTGCCTCGAGGTGGGCTCTTTTTTGCAGTTCCTCCCAGCTCTAGGATCTTCTGAACTATAGACATAGGCGCTCAGTGTAGGTCATAACCTGCACCAGCCAGATGCAACAGGGGGATACTGTCCCCTGAATTGAAATAGCCATTGACAGATTGATTTATCAGAGCTCTGTTTAGTCATTTTGTGGGAAAGGATAATCTCTTGTTAGCATTAATAAAAACCTGTGCCTTTCTAGAGAATACTATCCCTTTTGGTGTGCTCTGGGGAGGATGCTTATACATCCAAATGAAGGCCCTCACGGCAAGGAAAACCCCCATGAAATTTCATGTGTATTTATGACAGTGTCAGTAGATAAGTCACTGTCAGGCATTAAATGACCTCAGCATTGGCCATAGCTGGAGAGACTTGTGGTTCCTCCCAGTCAGTACCAATCTGCTGAGGGCGCCGAAGAGTAGTGTTTTGAAAGATCAGAAGTTGGGATCCCAATTTCTTCACCTCATTAGTAATCAACTGTGCACCTGGGATCTCTAAATATGACTAAACCTTCCTCACACCTATGTATGTTTTCAGCTTGATTACTGTCTCGGTGTAAATGAGCCTCATGAATGATCACTTCTGGGTAATATTGGTTATAAATATGTATGAACTTCTACATGTTTGAGATGCTGGCCCAGGTATTCAAAGGTTTCCCATCTTTTCCTTTGCATTATTTTTTTAGACTTCAGTAGAATTTAGACTACCCTCTTGGCCTTCTTCACTGCAGAAGAATGAGTCCCAAACCTGCTAATCTATTCTCACAAAAGGAGGCCTACTTTTGATACTTTAAATTGTAATTTTACAGCTAGAGACAGTATGATACAGCAGGAAAACCAGGGGCTCTAAGTATAGTACTCTGTGGATTAGGATTCTGGCTCTAGTACTGATTTAACCGCATTGGGGAAATTTTATTAATTTATGAGATTTTTTTTCCCCATTGATAAAAAGGAGATCATAATGTCACTCTAACAGGTCTATTATAATGATTCATGATAGTGTATGCAATGTTCCCTGTACATGATATGTACTCAGTAAACAAATTCATTAATAGTAATATTGATGAATTAACACTATTCTTCAGAAGACACCATTGAGGGTATCAGGTTACTTGATTTCCTGTGTCACCCTAATAAATAAGCATGCTAGTTTTTTGGTTACCATGAAGCTTACTAATCTAAACTCATAAAATATTGGAGCCAGAAAGGACCTTAGAATAACATCTAGATATTCTAGAGTAGTGTTTCTCAAATTTTAATGTGCTTGTAAACCAGCCAGGCATCTTGCTAAAATGCAGATTATGACTCCCAAGGTCTAAAGTAGGGCTTGAGATTCTTCATTTCTAACAAGCTCCAGATGCTTCTGGTTCCCAGAAGCAGAGCTGAAAGGTTCTAAAGCTCTTGACCAAACCATGAAACCTAGGAAGGAAAGTGGCTTTTCAGATGAGTTGCATGATTGGATCATGAATGCTTGCTTTCCAGTTCCAGTGTTCAACTCCATCTTAGCTAGAATCTAACTCTTACCCTGAGACCCTGCTAATTGCAGTAACAGTCTGAACCCTGAAATTGAAACCTTCAAGGGACTCAGACAGAAGCTGTGTGATGCCTGGAACAATTTCACTTTCTATTCCTTCTCTCTTTGTGTAGCTTTATTTTCCCACCAAGCCTGGTGGCCCTGTCACTTTTGCCCTCACGATAATACTCTGAATCTTCAGAACGAAGCCAGGCCTATGCTCTATCAATAATATTAGGTCCATGAATTCATTCATTTGGTTTTATGCTTTACTTCTTCAAACGTGTCCTTAGCACCATGGTAGGATGGAAAAACAAACACTGGTGTCTGACAAACAGGTGTGAATCCGTCACATATCAGCTGTGTAACTTTAACAAGTCATTTCAGCTGTCTGAGTCCCAGATATTTTGTTGCAATGACAGGAACAATAATACCTCTCCTTCGAGATTATGATTAGTACTATATACAGAAAATGTACCTTAGCGCAGTGCCTAAGTGCATCAAAAGTGCTCAGTCACTCAACAGACATTTATTAAATATCTGCTACATCCTAGGTACATTACCAGTACTGGAGAGAAATAAGTGACTAAGATACAGTGGCATTTTAACTCCCAAGGATCTTATTCTCCAGTGGAGAGGGTACAAGGTATACAGACAAATCAAAACAGTTAGGAGAAGTATAGTTTGAAATTAGCTCAATAAAAGGGGAATGAAAGCTTCTCCTTCTGTGCGTGACACCACTAAAGTTTTAAGGTCACCTTCATTAAAGATGTAGCAGTGAAGTAGGTGAAGTGTGGGGGTGGGTACATGATTACTTTAAACCCACATTACAATAAACTCATGATATTTGAGAAGGATACTACTGACATCTTTGTGGTCTGGAAGAATCCTGGTAGTTTGTGACTACCACTGCAGCACATCCTGGGGATTATGGCCTCCAATACAATAAACTCATGATATTTGAGAAGGATACTACTGATATCTTTGTGGTCTGGAAGAATCCTGGTAGTTTGTGACTACCACTGCTGCACATCCTGGGGATTATGGCCTCCAAGCCTCCTGCATGTTAATCTCACTCACTGAGCACATGACTTACTCCTGTATCCCAGGTTCACAGAGCGCCTCTGCAAAAATAAGATTATTACAGCTCATTGACCTTTGGGGTCTCTGGGAATAGCCAAAGCCTCAGATGTCAAATATGCAAATGGACAGATCTACTGTAATTAAATAACATGGGCCTCCTTCGAAGAATAATGGAGTGTAAGCTGTACCACACATTTCCCAAGCAAATATAGAGTGTTGAAACTGGAAGGTATCTGTCCTCCCAGTTTTACAAATTATGAAATGTGAGAATCTGAGATGCAAAGTGACTTGTCCAAGATCACACAGGTAGATATGATAGAATATTAGACTTTAGAAAGGGCTTTTTTGGATGCTGCTGATTTAATGTCTCCTTCTCCCCATTTGGACTTTTCCATTTTATTTTTATCCATCAAAATGTTAACTTTGGAAAGAATATGGAAATTCATGGGTGAAAGATGCTCCGGAAGGGCACATCCAGGAGTGTTTATGTGAGTAATGTCTTAACTAAGAATAATAATATATTATAGACTATTTTTAATCTCTTGGTTCATCTTGAAATTGTTCAGGAAGGAAAATATTGAACTCATAGAAAATATTTTTAGAAGCTTTATCTTAGTGATCTCTTGCTGAAAAAAGTGACAAGTATAGCTGAGATATCTCTTGGTGATGGTTAACTTCAGGCTAGACCTTGTTCCATGAAATAGTGCAGTATTTTTTTCAGAATGATGCAGGCCATTCTCTTCCAGCGGTGTTTTTTCTGTAAAGTTTTAGCCAAAGGCATCTTCCCATCAAAACCTATACAAATAAGGAGTTATCCAGGACACAATTTTCAGATTCTCCAACTTGAATAAACACAGTTGGGTTTTTGCTTTTTCTTTGGCTCAGCAGAGTAACAGGATAGTTTTTATCTGGCCACGGAGGAAGATAAGGGGCTTCCCAGGTAGCGCTAGTGGTAAAGAACCCTCCTGCCAATGCAGGAGACACAAGAGAGGTGAGTTCAAGCCATGGGTTGGGAAGATCCCCTGGAGGAGGGTATGGCAACCCACTCCAGTATTCTTTCCTGGAAAATTCCATGGACAGAGGAGCCTGGTGGGCTACAGTCCATAGAGTTGCAAAGAGTCGAATACCGTTGAAGCGACTTAGCACACA